CATACGGTCGCTATTGGCCGCTGAGTCACCTCCGTGAGCCTCAGTTTCCTCATCTGTATGGGGAGGACAGTAGCTGGAGACTCAGTGACATGTGACAGATAGCTGATGCTTGGATGTCACCTACTATGTGACTGCCTTGTACACACTTTTAATTTCCACAGTAGCCTGTGAGGAAGTCCAGCTACTGTTCCTTGGTTTATGGTTTAGGAAACTGAGATTCAGAGATGTCGAGTGACTTTCCCTCGGCTGCACAGCCAGGCAGGCATACTTAATTCGGCACCCACCACTCTCCAGGGATCGTGCACGGCTAGCCTGGGCCCAGTGCAGAAAGAAGCTGTCTCCACGGTAAGGGTTCGGGAAGCTGTGTTAGTGTGAATCTCCCAGTGGCCTGGTGAAGTCAGTGGGGCAGAGATCCGGCCCCATTTCACAGATGAGGGGCACTGTGGCTCTGGAGGTGGAAGCAGCACTGGTGTTCTACCCATCCCGGGACAGCGAGCACTTCCCACAACCCATCGTCCCCACCCTTCAGGCTCCCTCGGTCGAGTGACGTCTTTGGAGCAGTCACTCTGTCTTTGCTTGTTTGCTTCCCGACCCCTGGTGGCTGTGGCAGCGACCTGAGCTCCAGGCCCAGGGCCACGCTGAGTGAGGGGCTGCAGGAGCTGCTGTTCTTCTGGGCAGGAAGCCACCCCCCACCCCACAACGAGACCCCACGCCTAGGGATGCCAGTTGCGGAGCTTGTCCCCACCTTGGGCCCTCTCCGTCCTGAGGACCCTATCCGAGTCTGGGTGTGAAGAATGGATGGCAGCAAGCAGGGAAACAGGACTCTTGTGGCCTCTGTGGCCTAGTGAGACAACCTGGAGGAGGCAGATGGCTGCTGTCCCCTCCTCTCCCCTGCCAAAAAACCTAGCTCCAGGTGGCAGCCTCCACGGCTGGGCCTGGGCCAGTCTGACCCACATTTGCTGAGTGACTGAATGAAACATGAGCTAGGTGGTGAACTCTGATCAGCAGGATTCAAACTCGGATCCCTCCCACTTTACCTTGCCTGTCTTCCCCTCGGACGTGGGTCCCTGTGAACTTTCAGAGGGGGGACCTGTGGCATTCTTATCCCAAGCTGCATGTCGTGCCAGTGGACAGGCCTCTGGGTTCTGATCTGGCCTTGACCTGGACACAGCTTGCTGGCAGGCGGTTTGGGCCTGGGCTGCCTGGAGACCTGGAGCAGTGACCCAGCCAGGGCTGCTTCAAGGAGACGGTGGGGGGGGGGCAGGGATCAATGCCTCTGTATGTCTGTATGCACTGCCTTTGGGCTTTTGTTGGCTTCCCAGGCTCAGTCGGAGGTCAGGCCACCCAGGGGCTAATTCCTGACATTCTCACAGGCTGAGAGACCTGATGTGGCGCAAAGATGCCAGAAGGAGACGCCTTGGAGCGCCAGACTCAGGCACATGTGCAGAGCTGTCCAAAACCAGATGTCCACCCTGAGAAAAGAAGGAGTCTTCATTACCCATCTTTAATCATGCCTCCTGGGACACAGCCACAGCAAGTCTCCCGCTCCCCCGCCCCACACCCACTTCAGTTCCCACTCTGGCTGCTTCCCTGTCCCTGCCGGCCTCAGGCGACCCCTGGGGTCAATTCCACCTGTGTCCTCTCCCATCTCCACCTGGGTTCCCACAGGCCCTCGGGTCCTCACAGTCACTCCATCCTCTCTTCTCTCACTGGTCCTGTGCTTATCCTGGATGGACAACCACAGGCACCTTCTCACCCCAGGGCCTTTGCACTGACCATCCTGATCACTTTTTGCCCAGATATGTGCAGTTCCTTCCCTGACTGCTCATTCTTCTGCATGCTGTCTGGCTTTCTTGATTTTTTTTCCTCAGAGCACTGGCCACCTTCTAGCTCAGCATATGTAATATTTATTTTCATTTAAATGTGCACCTGAGGCTGGGGGTGCAGCTCAGTGGGAGATGGCTTGCTTGCCTGGCATGCTGGAGGACCTGGGTTCCATCCTCAGCATTAAGAGAAAAGAAGAAGAAAAGAATGTACTTGCCCCCGTACTACCTCAGTCCTTGCAGGGCCGAGGTGTTACCTGTGCACAGACAGGGATGCACAGCCACACTCACCACCTGCATTTTTGCACCAAAGGCACACAGCACTGACTCCTGGGCTGTCCTTGTGTTGTGATTCTGTGTCTTGAGACCTCCCCAGCTGCAGACTGGTCCATGGTCCCAGCTCCCATGGTTGTTCCTCTGGTGCCTGACCACTGTGTTAGGACACAGATGCTCCGAGCTGGGGCTGGGCAGAGCCCAGAAGTGGGGAAGCCCCTGTTGACCTTCAGAGCTCATGGGGGCTGTGAGTGAGGCTAATTTTGCTTCCTGCTTCCTGGGCTCCTGCTGAAATGAGAACTGTCACAAATAAGTGTGGGGCAGGAGGCTGGTGACACTGTGGTTTCTTGCTGTGAGGGTGGGCAGCCTGGGGGCTCCTCGGTGACACTGTGAGAGTCGAGAAGCTCAGACTCCTCCGTGCTGGGAAGGATGGGGACTTCCGTGATGGCTGGGCTTGGTGTCCCTGAGTCACGGGGCCTGGCAAACAGTAGGCAACTACTAACTACATACCTCATGAGTAAGGCGGGCTTTTCCTTTCCACTGGGAGGCCACCTGCAGTGGGGTGGTGGCTTTGCAGGGACACAAAGAGCTTCTCCAGCTGAATGTGTCCCTTCCACCAGCTTTGGGGTTTGGTTTGCTGAACCTGGATTATCTGCTTCTTTTTTTCCTCCCTTTATTTTATCATTTTTACATTTACTTACATGTGTATACATTGTTTGGGCCACCCCCCCCCCCACCTCTGAACCTGGGTTTTTAAGGAGGGCACCTGGGGGTTGTCAGCCCCACCCAGTCCTCACTGCCTCTCCTCCAGGCACAAAGGATCCCCTAGGCCTGGGACTTCCAGCTTGCACTTGTCAAAGGCACAGTGGAGACCTGTGACTTTCCCTGCACCCACATAGTTCTGGGTGTGGCAAGCCTCCAGGGATGTCCATTTGGGTGTCTTTTTTTTTTTATGGGACTAGAATTTGAACTCAGGGGTTCACATTTGCAAAACAGGCATTGTACCACTTGAGCCACACTTCCAGTCCGTTTCACTCTTGTTATTTTGGAGATTGGGGGTCTCAAAAACTATTTGCCTAGGCTGGCCTTGAACTGTGATCCTCCTGATCTCTGCCTCCCAAGTAGCTAGTATTACAGGTGTGAGCCACTGGTGCCCAGTTCCATTTGGGCATCTTTTAGGTTGCCACCAGCAATATGACACAGGCCTTTCGCATGTGCCCTGGTAGCCAGCCCAGGGCCCTTGGGGTGGCTGGGGGGCGGGGTGTTGGTTCTCCTATCAAGAGACCGACACAATAGACAGGGAAAGACCTGATCCTGACATCTGCCCTAAGAGCAAGTTCTGGAAAACTGAGTCAGCCATTCTCCCTTGTGTCTGGGTTTTCTGGGGCCTGTGCCTGGCTGCCAGCCAGCCTCTTGCCCCTCAGCCGCACACTTTTCCGTATTCATTTGTTCCCTCAAGTGCCTTCTGCGTGCTCGGAATATAGCACTGAGTAAGACTGACGAAGTCTCTACTGAAAGGGACTGGGTTCCTCAGGGTGGTTTCTTTAGATGGAGGGTCAGTGAGCTAGGACCTGAAGATAGAAGACTGTAGGCTCAGCAAAGGAAACTTGGAAGGCAAAGGTCCTGAGGCAGGATGGGCTTGTCTAGTTTGCCAAGGACCCAGGAAGAAATGGTTGAATGATTAGAAGGTGGATTGTGGAGACAGCTTGAGGGCAGAATAAGGCCCTACTTGGGAATACAGACCACGTTCCCTCATCAGTTCCAGTCTGGCCCCATATCCTTGGGTGACTTCTGGAACTCAGACTCAGGCTCTGCCCCTGTAACATGGGCACAGAGAAAGAAAACCTTTCCCTCACAATGGCTACCAGAGAACCCGCTCTTAGCAAGTAGTACCCATCAGGGGGACTGCATGTTGTACCCTGGGGGGGAAGGGGTGTTCTTTGGCAGTTTGAGGCTGCTGTTCCTGTTTGTGGTGGGCTCATCCCTATGGCTGCCACTCAGAGCCCAGTGACAAACACGATGCCAGTTTGTGGGGTGGGGTGGCCAGACCCCTTCTAGCTGATCCTTCAGAACCTTGGCTGGGACAATAGGGCAGGTAAGGTTCTGAACCTCCTGGGGCCTGTTTCCCCATCTGTGATGTGGGGGTCAATATCAGGCACTTGTCAGAGGATTCGGAGGGGAGCTTGGAGGTCCTGTGCTCACTCAGTGAGCTGCTATTGCTCCTCACAGCCATAGGGAGGGGTCCCCAGTTACAGCACGAGATGGAAGAGCCCCCCCCTTTCCCCTCCATCTGGCCTCACTAGCTTCTCTGTAAAGTGCTCCCTCCAAGGGACATGGCTCTGGAACTGCTACTGGGCTGTGTGGGGTTTCCAGGTGACCTCGGGACATGACAAAGCTGACAGTCTCCCTCCTCCTGTGCTCTGGGGAGGCACAGGTTGGGAGAAGCAGCCGGGAGACACCCCAAATGTTCCTCCTCCTGCAGCTGAATCTCATTGAAATGCAAATCCTGAGTGTTCTCAGGTGACTCTAGGGGTGGCTTTGGAAGGTTGCCTGGTGGGAAGTGTGTGTGTGTGTGTGTGTGTGTGTGTGTAGGTAGCACTGTCCCCTCCCCCCAGGCCAAGGGCTGGCAGCCTTTTGAGGGTGGATACCCACAGTCTGGCTGGGCAGCAGTGGAGTGGGTGGGGCTCAGGAGAGAGGGGCCCTGACCTATGACCCTTCTTGCACTTCCCCTTTTCTGGACTTGTCAGCCTCAGATCCCCCCCTACAGGCCCCCATCTCACAGCCTGAGGGGGAAAGAGGGACCAGGCTGGGGGGAGGCCAGCAACCCCAGCACCGAGGAAGGCGGGGACCCTGGAAACCGCACAGCCGCCTCCCCTCTCCCCGGGGGTTCTCAGATGTTGGCAGATGGTAGAACTGAATCTGCTGAGACGTCACTCCAAAAAAGGAAAGTTGAACTGAAAAAAAATTCAAACTCTCCAACATCTTAGGGGAACACAGAACAGCAAGGCGGCAGGGCTGCAGGCCTGGGGCTCGCAGGGCCGTTCTTGTCGGAGAGGATCCCCAGTTGAGGACAAACGTGGGGGGGCCATGAGGTCTCAGGGCTATCAGGAATGTGCCCCACTGTGCGTGGGGCTTGTCCTTGACTCCAAGATCCTGGTGGCATGTCCTAGTGTGGACCACAGGCTGGCTGCACCAGGTGTGCCCATGTCCCCGCATGTTCCCAGGTGGGTGTCCACTGAAGGTCACATTGTGGAGACTCTCAGTGATCAGTTGTAAACCCGTCCCCATGCAACTGCCATTCTGTGTGCTGTGAGCTGAGGTGGGTCCCTTCCTTATCTCTGTCCCCTGCTCTGTTCAGGTCTGTGGCGACTGGTGAAGTCACAGCTTGCCCCCCTGGGCTGCATCTCCTGCCTGGCAAGGCCTAGCGTGTCCCCGCCCGCCGCCGAGTTCTGCGTCCTGCTGTCTGTCCCACCCGGAGAGAGAGCTCCACCGAGCGTGTCCCCGCGCATCTGCGTGTGTCCCTAAAGGGCTCTGTGTGTGGCCCTCCTCGGGCGCCCTTTCCTCATCCCCTTGGCCACTCCAGAGTTATAATTTAATAGCTGAAACGCGATCCAAGGGAAGTATCTGAGAGGGGGAGAAAGAGGGGGGCCGGGGCGACGCTTTTTCTCCTCCTTCTCTCTTTTCCCGAGCTGCCAGAAAAGAAACTCGGCGTCGCGCGCCCGTGTGCGCGCGTGCGGCGGCGGGTGCGCGCAGGGCCGGCTTGGCGGTGCGGGCCCTTTAAGGCGCCCGGGGGCCGGGCGCGCGGTGCGGGCGGGGAGCCGAGCTGCCGCCTCCCGCCCGCCCCCTCCCTCCCGCGCCGCCGCGCCGCCGCGCGGGGGAGCGGAGCCGCGGGCAGCGCAGGCCGGGCCGCAGCACCCCGTCCGCCGCGCCGCCCGAGCCGCCGAGCCGCGCGCCTGCGTCCCGCCATGCGCACCAAGTTGCGGGCCGGGGCCCCGGGCCGGCGCGCTAGCGGCGGGCGGCGGGAGATCGCGTCGGGCCGAGGCCGGGCCTGCTGCGCGCCCCCGCGCGATCGGCACCGCCACTTGCCTGAGCGCCCGCGGCCCGAGCGCGCCCCAGGCCGGCCGCCGCCGCCGCCGCAGCCCGGCGAGGTGAGTTGGGCCGAGTTCCCCGCGGAGCGCGGGGCGGGCGCGGGGTGGCTTCCGGGCCGGGAGGCTAGCGGCGGGCGCACGCGGCGGAGTTGGCGCTGGTGGCGAGGTGGCGGGGGTGGGGAGGGGGGGGTCGGGCGACACCGCGGCCCGCGCGCTGCGGGGCGCGGGGAACTTAGGGGAACTCCAGCTCCCCAGCGAGGGGGCGGGGGGCAGGGAAGTGGCGCGGGGGTGGTTGGGGTGGGGGGCGCTGGAAATGCGCAGGGTCACCACCCCAGCCCTGGGGCATGGCCGCCAGGCGTCTCCCCAGCCGCCCCGTACCTGGGGGGGTGCGCACTGCATCTTGTTTTCCAGCGGGTTTGGGGGCGCCCTTGGCCATGGCACCACCCCACCCCAGCTTGCTGCTGTGGAGGGGCGCATGGGGAGGGGGCTGGTGCTAACCGGAGAGGGGGTCTGGTGGCGTCCCCCTCCAGGATCGGGGGTACGGGGTGGGGAACAGGAGGGCGCTGGGCGGGGACCCTCCGGGAGGCGCCCCTGGCTCCCCTCCCCCGCGGCCGGGGTTCCTGGTGTCCGGGCCTGCCTGCCGCGGCTAGTGACGCCTCATTGGGCCGCCTCCTGGTCCCTCCCCCGGGCTGTGCGGATACTTGGGATGCCACTAGTTTGGGAAGTTGGAATTCGGAGCCAGATCCCACTCCGGCCGGGCCGGGAAGCCCCAGGCCCTCGTGGCGTGGGGAAGCGTCCCCAGAGGCCCTTGGGAAGTGGAGGCGCCCGTGGGGCGCGCCCTCCCCGCCCAGACACTCGCAGGAAAAAGCCCGAGGGAGGGGGCCGGGCGTCGAGGGAGAGCCGCAGCCGCCAGGGCCCAGTTAGCGTGGAGCGCCCCGCGTTATTTTTACATTGTAGCTATATTTTTTGGAAGGCAGTGTCTCCCCGCCGCCTGTCGTGCGCTCCGGCTCCCCGAGGGTCTGGTGCAGGCAGCGGGGGCGGATCTGTTCTGGCGGCTCAGTCTCCTCCCTTCCTCCCCCCCTCCTCCCCCCTGTTGGTGAGAACTGGTTTTATTACGATTATTATTTTTTTCCTCTTTGCAGATTTGGAGGAAGGATGTGTGAGAGGGAAGGAGGGAGGGAGGCGGGAGGGAGGAGGATCCCTGCGGGCTGGAGTGGGGGGGGGGGTTCTGGGCACACTGAGATGTGTTATCGTGGCCTTGACTTTGCTCTTTTTAAACCAGCTCAGGGTCCCTGCGGCAGCTTTGATGAGAGGCCTTCTCAGGGCCAGGCACGTGGAGGGGGGCATCTCACTGTACCGCTGTGGACTTCCTGGGTGGCCCTTTTTTGTTGTTTTTTTTTTTTTTTTCAGTGTTGGTGAGGAGGGGAACTGAGCAGTCAGAGGAAGGCAGACATGTGTTGTGGGATGGCTGAAGCATTCCTGACTCACTGTGCAGCTCAGCTCCTGGGTTCGAATTTTGCTTTGGCTGCTTTGCTGGCCTTGTGACCCCAGGCAGATTATTTAACCTCTCTCTGCTGTGGGTTTCTCTTCTGCAAAGTCAGGGTAAAAATAGTGCCTAGGGTTGTTGGAGAACTGAGCACAGTAATACAGAGGGTGCTTGTGTGTGTTACTATGACTACTGCTGTTACTCGTCCTGGATGCTCCAGGCTGACCTTTAATCCAGGGGCCTGGAGACACTGTGCAAAAGGGCTCCCTCACCTGTGCCTGGGGGCGTGTGGGGAATCAGATGGAGGACCCCCTCCTTCTGACCTCTTTGCTTCCAGCTCATAGGGTGGAGAAGGGCCGTGGAGCCCCCCAGCCCATTCTGGCTGCTCAGACCTGTGCCTCAGTGAATGAGCCAGGGGAGTGGTGATGAGGGCATCCCGGGTGCTGTCTTGGCTTCCCCACACCCACTGCCCTGTCCCTGCTTGGAAATTTACAACCACCACTGCCACTGCCACCGCCACAGCCACCAGGGCTGGTGCCCAGACATGGGGGTGGAGCAAGCGGGTAGCCCTGGCCTCTTCCCACTGAGCTATTTGCGCTGGCTCAGGGATCGATACTATTGATAAATCTATGTCCCTGGTAATGTGACTGTCAGGCCCTGGTGAGGGATGGAGACCCCTCATGGGGCTGCATGTTCCCCCCCCCCCACTTGGTTGAGGGTCTGGCTCCGTGGGAAGGATTTATTTAGCATAAGCCGTTCCCTTCCCCAATTAATACTCACAGCACCTCCTGAAGGTTTCTTAGCTCTGCAAACAGGAACTGAGAGCCTGGAGGGTTCTGGGGCTTGGGGAGGGGGGACCGCTGGCAGCACTGCTGCCCACCCCAGGGTTTAGAAGGGGCCCCAGGAGTTCTGGCTCTGCTTTGCCTGGACTCTGGGTGCCCCTGGCCTCTCCTTGCTGTTCCCCACCCCCACCAAGGCCGGGAATAGGGTGGAGAAGTTGGTGCTTCTCTGTGAGATGGGGTGGGGGGAATGGCACCTTCTTGTCACCCAGCTGGTGGGGCTCCTGGGCCTGTCTGAGACACCCTCACTCCTGAGACTGAAAATCTCCACATCCCATGCCACCGCCTGCAGCAGTGAGGTTGGATCTGCTGTGTGCTGTCTTTTTCCTTCTGGTTCCTTTTTATGTCTCAGACGACTAACAGCAACCTCCCCAGGAGACACCTTGGAGAAGCAGCTCCCTGCCAGGGGACAGCCAGCACACAGGAGCTGGCTATTCCTTGTCCAGGGACTTGGGACAACCTGGAGGCAACGGAGAACACTTCTGACTAGGGAGGGAGGGCTAGGCTATGGCCAGGCCAGGTGGAGGGTGTAGCAAACTTGGCGGAAGCTCAGAGGCAGAGAACCCACTTCACAGCCTGTCCAGGTGAGCTGGAAAGACACTGCAGTGACAGTAGTGACAGTCAGTCCCCAGGCTGCTCACTGGATGAGGCAGTGTTGTTATTGTTCCATTTTATAGACGGGGCCATGGAGGCCTGGAGAGCTTAAGTGACTTGTTCTCGGTTGCCCGGGCTGCTAGTGGAACAGTCCACCGAGACCTGGGATGATTCTCGGTCACGGTCATGGTCACGGTGCAGCAGGATTTGTTGAAGATGCCCTCCCGAGCCAGCTGAGAGAGGCGGGAGTGCTGTTCTCAGGGGAGCACCACCTGCAGACCTGTGCAGCCTGGGATGGCTGCAGGGACTGAGAACAAGTCATCCCCAGGCTTTGGGGGGGGGGGGTAGCGCCTGGCATTTCTTTGAAGTCTCATTTTATCTTAAACATTCATGCAAATTTGGCACTCGCTTTGGCGACAGGGCTGTGTTTATTTTGAAATGAAAACATGGTTTTGAATTATTTAGCATGGTGTCTAACGGGACTCAGGAAAGCCGTGGCTGAGGCTCTTGGGGGGGTGGGGGCTGGAGTGCCTGTCACGTGGGGTGTGTCCCCTGGAGGGGTCCTGGGACAGCCACAGCTTCTTTCCCCATTTTCCAGTTGACACCACAGGGCAGAGGGCCACAGGTCAGATCCCGAGGCTGCCCCAAGGTCACAGGGGTGGGCCTTAGGCCTCTCAGGAGCAAACTCGTCTCTCTCCTTAGGGGTCTTTGTTTTAGAGCCAAGCACTTCCACGCTGCCTCAGCCTCGTGGGTCCAGCTGGCCTTGACCTGGTTCATAGAACCATAAAGAATCATCTGGAGCACACGACTGGGACTTGCTGAGGGTTTGACCTGAAGTCCCCAGTCCGCAAGCAGACAGAAGGACAATTTAGCATTGCAGGTTCGTTTCACCCCCTGCTGCTCACCGCAGCTCAGGCTGGCCCACGCCTCTGGGCCCATGGGCCTCCTCTGTAGAGTGGGCGACGGTGTCAGGCTAGAGGCTGCTGCTTCAAGCTGTTCTACTCCAGGCAGGTCACTTAACGTCTCTGAGCTCCAGTTTGCTCAGCTTTAAAGTGGGACCCTGCTGCTTCAGACTTCATTGTCAGGAGGCCACGTGGGAGCTGCTGTCATCGTCTGACTCACCAGTTGGGGCGTGGAGACTTAAGGAGAATTTGTGGTGGGACCCAGGTCCTTGCTGTTGCTGTCATGGGTGGACACTGGTATCCCTTCCTCAAGGTGCAGCAGGAAGGAGGTGTGAGTGGCCTGATTGCTTGACCTGAGCCCCAGGCTGGGGCCTGTTGCTCTTGGTGATGGTGGCTCCTCCCTGTCCCCTGATTCGCCTGGCCCGCTGTGCCCCTGAAGCTGAGGCTTCCCTCTGCCTTGATCACCGACTGGCTGTTGGGCTTCTGGGGACACCCGAGGTCACGGGCAGCTTGGAGGATGGGGGCTCTTAGGAAGGCCTGAGCTTTCTCCACCTCTGGCAAAACCGTGGCAGTTCTAGAAATGCCCTTTTGAAGCTGGAGTTCTGGGTTCGAGTAGTGCTTTGCCAGTTAACAACTGAGCTAAGTGTCTGCCCTTCAGGCCTCAGATCTTTATCCTTAAAAGCCGGATAAGGGGAGTGGAGCAACTTCTGTGACATGGAAAAGGTCCCGTCACTGCCATCCTATGTGGCCAGCAGGTGTGTGAGGCCAGGACGCTGACGGCTGAATGGTGGTTTTCATGGACTTTGCATTGCCGGGGCTGATGGCCACTGAGCCAGGGGCAGGGCGGGGAGGTGAGGCGGGGCTCTCTGTTGGGGAGCAGGGCCAGGCGCCTGGCGTCTCCCCTTTGCCCGCGGGTTTCTGTGCACAGCGCTGGCCTGGAGTGAGTCCACATTCCCACCCACGGCCTCCTTGCCTCCTCTCCACCTGCTCTCCACCTCCTCTGGCACTTAGCGCCCACTGGAACCTTCCACGGTGGGGGGAACGGTCTATACCCACCACCGCGGCCACCAGCCACGTGTGGCGTGGAGCCCTCGCGGAGAGGGAGGTTGGTGAGGCCAGGGAGGGGATTCTGTCCTTCATTGAATTTTAATGAAAGCCAAAGGCCATGTGTGGCTGGTGGCCACCATCCCCGTGGGTGATGTGGCTGCAGAGACTGCTCTGTGGGGCAGGTCCTGGGTC